GTAGAACCATGGATCCATCCATAGACAGACACTGACAGGAACTTTGTGGGCTCAATAAGTAAACTGTGTCCTGCTGGATCCGTCCAGTGGTTCTGATGGAACTGTTCTGTCAGAGTCTTCACTTTTCATGTTGGACTTTTATTTCTGGAGGTTCTGAACCTGAAAATGGACCTACAGGTTGTTGTTTTTTTTGAGGATGAAAATTCAAAAACTCTCAGATCAGAAAACATGAAATTGTCAAAATTCAGCCACAACATTTGACAGAACTTAGTTCTGGTCCCAAATAAGAAACAAACAAACTGTGCAGAGAAGCTGAGAGGTTCTGTCAAACTGAACTGGTCTGAAGGATGAGTCCAGTCTGAAACAGGTTTTTCAGGCTCAGACTCTCTGATGATGTTTTCTGATGTTCACCAAATGTTCTAACAAATGTTCTCCTCCCCCGTCTTCACTTTCATCCTGCGACATTCCTGCAGAGTCGAGTTCAGACCTGCAGCTGCTCCGAAGCTTCGTTCTGCTGCTAAACTCTGACCTGCAGCTGATAAACTTCAGGACCAGCAGAACTTCTGAGCTTCAGTCTCACCGACGCTGTTACAGCTTCTCTTTTATTCGTACTAATGGATGGAACGTATGTTTCTGCTGTATTTGTTCTCGTCTTTATTTTGAACCACATTTCAGGACGAACAAACAGATTTTATCTTTACAACGCTTTTAAAGTTTTCTGTTGTTGTTTCTCCTGTTTGTGGTTTGTGTTGAATGCTCGTCACAGAAACTGTGTAAAAATCATAATGTTATGATTAAAGTTTTTTTATTTATTTATTATTTTTTCAAACTATCAGAAAACTGGGGAAAATGTTAATAAAATGAACTAAAACGTCCAAACAACGTCTGACAAACATTAAAAAGCTTCAAAGTTAAGAGTGCAAAAAAAGTGATTCCATCAGCTGAACTGTAGATTTTTAATTATAGTTTGTAATTATTGAGCTGCAGATGTTCAGTGAACTGATGCAGCCTGAAGGCATCAGAGGAACGAACCAGTCGGACGCTCGTCTCTTTAGATGCATCAGTTAAAAGTCTATTCGTCTAAAGCTATGAAAAATAAATAAATCCATAAAATGTCAGATGTTTATGGAGTCAGGTTCAGTTCTACGGAGTTCTGCAGGGGTCATGACGAAGGTCTCTGGTTTTTGGTGTTTTCCATCCATCCATCCATTTTCTTCCTCTTGTCCGGGTCGGGTCTGGGGGGCAGCAGGTCATTCCAGACATACCCCCCCTGCAACGCTTTCCAGCTCTTCCTGGGGGATCCTGAGATGTTCCCAGGCCAGCCGAGAGAAATAATCCTTCCAGCGGGTTCTGGGTCTGCCCCAGGGTCTCCTTCCAGGTGGACGTGTTGGGAAGACCTCCAGAGGAAGCCTCTCCGAATCAGATGCCCATACCACCTCAGCCTGGGGCCTGGACTAGAAGCAGGATCTGGGGTTAGCGAGGTATCTTCAGGTTAAATCCTGGGT